TGCTTTCAAAGGCATTTCATATCTGCTTTTATCTGCTATGGATTTTCAGTTCTCACATCCATATGTTAAGATGTAAATGAAAAAGGCAAGAAAGCCCTTTCTGATGCTAACTGTGGAATTTCAATAACCAAATATTTTTAAGGTGGTACAAGCAATGCCCTTCTTCTAATTCACAGCCTTATTTCCTTTCTGAAATCTCCATGGCACAGGAGATAGTTGCTGCCAGCATATGTAAAGAAGTTGGTTGTCATCCCTACCTTCTAAAGCTGTTCTTGAGTTTTTACTGCAGTGAGCGCTAAGAGTGTTTTCAACGTGAATATTATCAGTGTTTTCCCCACAGTTCTGCAAAGCCTTCTGGTCCTCACTTCAGTGTTGGCTAAGCTGTCATTTACAAGAGTGATGCTGTCATTACAATATTTGATTATTTTTTCTTAGAATAGCTGTAGTTGAAAGCACATTCTGCATTTCAAAAGGGAAATGGTTATTTATTTCTTGCAATGAGGTTGAGGGCAAGGCCAAGTAGTAGGTGCGGGAGAACTCACTTTTGACTTCAGCACTGCGGTAGCATCAGGCAAACAAGCTGCCTCTGTGCTCACCCTGACCATGGGACAACCCCTGGCAGAGGGCACATCTTTGTGTTGTCTTATACCTCCAGATGCACTTGCAGTGGACACTGTCGAGTGTTTTTTTGCAATATAGTAGTTAAATGATGATGCTTCCCTGAGCCTAGGGACTTGTCTGCTGATCATTTATTCTTTCATTACAAACAATGCTTTTTTGATTTGTTCATACAGTAAACATACAGTCCTCTGGGTCAGACTCCTCTTGCAGGCCTTACTATATCCAACTGCACTATTGATGAGAAAAACACTGCAGAAGACCTTCCCAATTCACCTTGTTTCTTCTGTACCGTGGTCGCAGAGCCATTCTGCTATTCCCTTGCAGAGCTTTGCAGGCGCCAGGTTTTGAGGCCTTGCAGAGGAGACAAGTGTTTGTCCCTGTGTTCCCAGCAAACACTGCCTGTTCCAGCAGCCCTGATGGACCTCAACAAAACTGCTCTTGAGTTTTCTATGTTGTTTCACTGTTGTTTTTCTTAATAGCTCCATGCAGTTTCTGCCTGTCTGATGCTTTCTAAAAGTGCTTTGCCCACTTCACCTTTTGCTTTTGGCTGTTAAAAATCTTTCTGTGTTAATTCCTAAGAGGGGCTCCAGCTGCTGTAGCCTGTAGTAAGGACCTCAGCAATCGGATGAAGTGTTTTCCTGTCACTTCTTTGAGAAGCCACTTTTGGCTTCGTGATCCATCTCAATCCTCTTGTCTTGCCTCACGTGGCGTTTTCCAGCATTGTTCTTTGTTTTACAGAGAACTGCTGCTGCTGTGTTCATGAGTATCATTTTGGAGAAGCTGATATTGTTGTCTCAACTCTTTCACACATAATCTAGATGACCTCCCCGACTCTGACTTGAGGTTTACTTGCCTGTAAGCTGGCAGTGGTGGTTACTGGTTGAGGGCATCCTGCAGGAAGATGTGTGAACTGTAAATCAAAGCCTTGTAGTGCCTGATATATTTTTTAGTTCAAATTGAAATTGATTCTGTGCTTGTCTTACAGCCTTTCACTGTCGGTTTGGTTAATGAATTAGGACTTTATTTGCTTTTTAGTTTAATCCTAAACCTTCCCATGCAAATGATGATTCCTTCTGGCCTCATTCAGTCTGTATCCAATGGTCATTCTGCAACTGCAGCTGTGAGAGCAGGGTAAATGTCACCAATCTTTTGGCGTTTTGATTTGCATAATGAAGACTGCTGTGTGATTGCTTTTCCTCACAGTGCTTGATTTTTCCCAGCTGAAATCTCCCATTGTTTAGAGGAAGTCATGCCAGGATTTCATTAGATTCTGGAAACAACTACAGACCTGACCCTTCCACTCAGGCCTGTACTTCTTTGTAGGTGTTTGCTATCAGGTAAATTACAATCGGCTCACTAGATACCAGTGTATAAGCAATTCTTCTGACACACAAATTACTGAAAATTATTAGTTGTGTAGACACTGTACTACAAGTTTAATCATACACGTAACCTAGAGATTTCAGACTCCATGCAAACTTGTGCAGAGGTATTGCTGCTCCCAGCATGACTCTGCTGCTGGAGGTTAAGTGCAGCTCTGGAGAAGCCCACCAGCTGATGTTACATTGGTTTATAGATTCTAGGGCTCATCACGGATCCTCTAGGTTTATCCAGTGCGGCATCCTTGGTGTTTGCTTGCAGACCGAGATCACAGGTTTGCTGCCTCTCCCTGGATATATCTCAATCAAGGGTCTATGAGCAATCTGTGTTCTCCTTGATGGTATCTCCAGTGCTTAGACAGCTCCATAGCCCTGCATCTGGGAGGCACAGTTTGTCTGTTCAGTTCTTACAAGAGTCTTGAGAACTGAACCATGATGGAACAAACCTATGAAATTCTCTCAAATCAAATACAACCTTTTTATGACTTTACACATTCTCAGGAAGATTTACTGCCTAAAATAGTCTGGTGGCTTCCAGTCAGAAGCCAGTAGTCCAAATCAATTCGCCTTACCTCAAATGAGAGGCATGCAAAGAATCTCTTGATCATGTAAAAAACTCTTACAACCAGAAGCAATGTGCTAAAACAGTTATAAAAATGGGCAAAAGCTAAAAGATGATTCAGGGTTGGTACTGAAACTCTGATTTCTGTTTGGCTGAAAGGGTGGAGTTCCACGCTCCACTGATGACAATGTTGGATTTCCTACATCCAGTAAATATCCACATGGGAGAACAGGATCACTGTCAATCAGTGGATGAAAGACAAGAATGAGCCAACTGCTGGACCTCAGTGTTAGAAGCTCTAAATTACAGTATGAGTGATAGAGGAAACTCTGTATGTGCCTGCCTCTGCTGTGTACCTGTTCTGTTTGGAAAGTGTTCTTCTTTCTTTCCCAGTGTTTGGAAAGAGCCCCCTTCCCCCATCCCTAACTCAGTGCTAAAGCATGACATTCCAGTTGAAGCTATGTGTGCAGCATCTGCTCTCCTCCCCCTTGTATCACATGCACAGACTATTTATAGCAGGAACGAATTTTTGTTCTTATGCATCATTCCATCCAGCAGAAAGCAAAACAGAAGGAGAAGCTGGTGCAGGAAAATGCTCTCTCAAGTCAGATTTGTAACAGAGAAAGGAGGAGCAAGCTTTATCCCCTTGCAGTACTACTCTCAAACCCCGCAGCCTAGATCCAGAATCATAGGTTGGCCACTGCGCAATGCCAAAGTACCTCTTGGAGGCCATCATAGCACAGTAATGAGCACATGCGGGTTGAGCCAAGTGTATTTAGTTTTTAGAAGACTGGCATAAGTCATCTTTATTGAATATAATTTAGTTTTAACATATTGCTCTGTGCTTGAGTTATTATCTTCAGTGTGCTTGGAGAAATAAATTACATTGAAGCCTTTATTTTTGACCTGTGACATCAATACACGCCATGGACGGATTCCAAAATCTTATCAGCTTTGGCATGGCTATTAAATTACAGTGGTGAACAAACCTCTTTAGAAATGAAAAATGCTTTTGGAGCTTTGACCTTTTACATTTCAATTCGTAAAGAGCCCAGTGCAAATGGGAAATGCTGATCAAAATCCAGTCACTTTAATCTTGCAGGGTGTCCTTTCTGCAGAAGAAAAGAACAAAACGTATCTTCTTGCTTTGCAGCCTTTCAGATCTTGATACCCAAGTTTGCCTGCAACTATGAGATCTGGTGCTGGAAAGCCATGTTTGTAAAGTACAGAACATGGTAAATTAGCCAAAGCCACAGAATTTCTAAAAAGAAACTCCCTCCGAGATAAAGATGTGAATTCCAACAGGACAAAGGCACACAGCTATTCCTCTAGCACACGCTGTCTTATTTGATGTGCAGAGAGTACACGTGAGGATGCTGCAATGTTTTAACCTCCACTCCAGCTCTTCCCTCAAAGCGCACTGAGGCTTCTTCTGTTTGAAAGATGGGAAATTGAACCAAAATGGGTATTTTATGTATTCTTCAGCCAGTTAGAAGTACGCCAAGATTTGGGTCGTTTTTCTCACTTCTCCCACTGTGGCTTCTGTCTTCACAAAACCACCTTCCATTTTCCAAAAACTCTGCCTTATTCCTTGTCAGCAAATGGTGACATGAAGCCTGGAAAGTCGGGTGAGGAATTATACAGGGGTTAAAGGACAGAGTTTAGAAACCATATTGCAGAGCTCTTTGTGGAATATGCAGTAGAGATACATCTCTGTAGCAAAACTAACCTGTTTATTATTTAACCCATGCTTTCTGCCTTCCTCTGCTCTTCTCAACCAGATGAAGCAAATGGTTTAGCTGTTCATGCTCACAGAGGTGGGACAAGGGTGTTTCCAAATCCCTGTGTGAAGCTGAAGACATGACATGTTACACAGCCTCTGTAGCACTTGGTGTGAAAATGAATTCCTTTCTCATCAGTTCTCCTGGCTAAGCTTGCTTTCAACATCATTTAATAGTGCTTTACGTATTTCTGACGATTTTTGAAGAGACACAATTTTCCTACTGATGAGGAGAATAAAAAGCACAAGTTGCATGCAAATTAATGAATACAACTGGACAAAGAGCCATACGAATTTGTTGTTCCTTATTAAGCTTTTAAAGCTGTAGCACTACAGAGATGAAGAGCAATTGCTGGGTTGTGATGTTTCCACCCTAGGACATCCATCACATGCTCCTTTATATGCCACTTTAATCCTATATTATCTCCTCATAGCCAGTGAAAATCTTGACATTCAAAAGAAGGATCTGGATAGTTTCTTTTGCTGAATAAGAGAAAAGGTATGGACATAACTGCCTGGGGCATAGAAAGGTCCCTACAGTTGTGAATGTTGAGAAGATGATAGAGAATACTGATGCACCAAATGGGACTTACACTTCTAAATGGGTAATTACAGGCCCATAAACTCACCAAGAGCAGGTTTGCAATTAATTTTTTGTTTTGTTTTTTTTTTTTATTTATAGGTACAATATTGAACCTAAACTCATGGCCAGTAAGTAGTTAACAAGTATTCAAGCCTGGTCTGTCAGCCAGACAGCTAAAATAAAGCACCGTGCTGCAGGAAAAGCCTAATGTATGTTAATTGAATGCCAATTGATTAAACATATTCATTGAGGTTTCACATCTAGGTCATAAGTAATCTATCTATTACATACTTGTTAAACCTCATTAAATAATTGCCTGGTGGTATTTAACATGCAATAAGTATCCCCTGAAATTCAGCTAAAATGTATTCTTGCATCTGCTTAGGAAGTCGCCGAAGTGAATCGATGGAAGAATGTCAAAAAAGATGAATGTTAAACAGACCATCTGAAGTTTTTAAATAAAAGAGATGTGCTGTATGGTGGTGCAAGATATTCCAGTAAGCCTGCTAAAAGGCATCTATATCTACACAATTATCCATGTAATACCGTGCAGGGGGAACGGATTAGTGACTACAAATCTGTGTGTGAAATGGGATGCTGGAGTCTGCAGGACAGAGGAAGAACTCTTGATGCCTGGGTAAGGACAGACCCTGGAAGACTTTTCCAAGGTAAAAGGACATGGTGTTGCAAACTTTACTTTTATAGGTGAAAAATGATAGCTACAAATCTAAATGTTTATTCACAGGTACACGGCTCATTTATGCCACTTGTTGCTTTTGAATTATTAGTGACATCTTGAGCGAAATTGATGCTACAAACCTCAGTTAAAGGCTCGTAGGGTCTGTGAGAGGCAGCCACTTTATATCACACATCGCTCATCGAAGGCAGGAGTAATCTTAGGCACAGAGTTGAACAGATTTGCCTAGAAAATCAATGGAGAACATCAGATAGCAAATTCAGAAATATATCTACCCTTCATCTACGGCTGTGTCACGTAACTTGGTGTATGCACTGCAGCCTGATTTAGCAAACTCTGCTCCTCCAGAGCAGACACCACATCAGAACTTGAAAACTTTCCATTCCTGTTATCCAAGTGCACATGGGCTGCCCTGAAGCCTTAATAACGAGCAGCAAACAAATACAAAAGGAAAGTTTATCAGCTACAGCTTCAATTCTGATGGGTTTCCAAGACATCTGGTTGTGGCACAAATGGTCAGCGTGTGCAGTTTGTGATGCTTTCTTTGCTGTTGCGCAGTGTGTTGGACCAGGTTCTTGGCAGAAAAGGTTTTATTCTTCACAGGGCTTCCTGAAGAGCCTCTCTGAGCTCCACAACAAGGTGAAAATGCTCCTTTGCCTCCTCATCCCTCTGAGTTATTTCCAGTCCTGGGGGCATCTGAGCTGCAGATGACAACTCCACAGCACCTCTCCCATCCCACACAGACCTGATCTGGCAATGAACCTGCTTCAACCCACCCATCAGGCAGTTCAGAGACTGATTCCAAAAACCCCAGAGAGACAGAAGTGTGACCATGACTAAGAACCCGAAATATCTAAGGTTTTTCTGAGAGAGGTTTGGTATTTAATAGAGATGAGATAGAAATTGGGCTGAAATGTTTTTTTTTCTACCCAGCTTTTTATTCTTATTATTAAGCTTGTAGGGAATTTCAAAGCCAAAATTACAGCAAGAGGGTGAGAGCAAACACACGGGGGAGCACTTAGACTGTAATAGTCAGTAACCAAGTACTCAATACAGCCAGCTAGTGTACCTGAGATTGCCATTTCAGAGGAAAACCTGGCTTTTCCAAACTCGGGTTTGTGCTTAAGAATTCACCATTTCCCAGAAACCAAAAGTCCCACGTGGAGTTTTCTAATGCCAGGACCACAGGGAGGGTCACATACTCTGTGCTTGAAAAGAGAACTGTCGGGAAGTGTCAGCATCTTGAACCACAAGGAGGTGCTGCAGTTTGAAGCCTGTTTGCATGAATTGCCATCTTTTGTTTTACTGCCGGCTGTAGAGTTAGAAATTTATCTCAACAAGCTTTCTCATCTATTTCAGGTTGCCTATTTGCCATCATTGGCAGGCTGCTCAGCAAACCTCCCTGTTTGGAAAGGTACCTCCTGAAATACGGTTTTGAGACTGAAGTAGGTATTTGAAGGGTCCACCATGCAAGGGAAGCACTTGGCCTCCATAATAGATTTCCTGTATTTGCAGACTTTTTGTCATGTTTACTCAGTAAACATTTGTTACACAGATTGAATGATTTAATTTTGTCAGTACTTGCAAAGATAGGGAATTCAGGAACATTGCTTAATGCACAGCCAAAACATAGCAACAGCCATTACAGAGTTTTGTACAATTGAGTTTCTATTAATGGTGTTTGTGCTCCTGTTTTCAAGCTGGAAATGTGATATATGCCCACGCTTCATTAAAGGTGTGTTGTAAGGCCGTTAGTAGCAATGATGATCGTACTTTGAGTTTCTTTAATTTTTGCATTATTAAGGAATCCCTTCCTCATTCTCGTATAACAAACTCCAGAATTATCCTCACAGAGGGAAATGCTTCCTTCCCTCTGCTGTTCCAGGAATAACTCTTACCTTTTTGCAGCCATCAGCTCTACCACAAACCTCTTTGCTATACCCAGTAGAGCATCTCCTTCATCCTCCCCAGCTTTGCTCACCACAAGGGACTGGAGAGTGCGGCGTTTAATAAGACCCAAGAGAGAACAGAGGAGGAGGAAAAAGTTTCTTATGCACATACACGTACACACGGCAAGGAAATAGCACTGGAGACAGCATTCCTCTGCCACTATGCTGGAACAAAGAAGTGATTCATAACTGAGGCTGGGGAAGAGTGTGGGTGAAGGGAGAGGAAGGCAGGAATTTTTATTACCTATTAAAGTAAGGAGTTAAATTTTGTCATTGAAATTAGTACTATTTGACTTATTTATGTATTTACTGGCTTATGCAGGTGGTGAGTGCTGTGGCCCTTGGAAGTCTACAGCAGGTTCTTGTGCCTACACAGCATCCCTGGATGCTCATAAGGCTGTGTTGATGAACGTTTCAAATGGCAAATAGCAGTAAGTGTCCTTCTAGCACTGATGTTTATTTACAGTCAGTAGGGTTAATGGAAAATTGGTATTATGATGATTTAATAGGGAATTTTATTGCAAAATAGAAAGATATTGCAGCACCTGTATGCATCACATGGATAGATGAAAAAATCTTTGTATTTTAGTTGCTATGAGTGGGTTCAATGTACTTAACAAACAAAAAAGTCGATATTGTGGTCTGCATTATCCAGATATGGAAATAGAGCCGAAAGATACTACTTCTCTGACCATAAGTCAGGGGCAAACACACTAGTTTGCTTACGCAGTCCCAGGTGCACAGTGTGCTGCAGGAGTCTCAGCTACATAATATCTGTGGAGTTCTCATATTAGGAAACACCTGGCAAGCAAGGAGAAACTATACTCACGTTAATCAAATAAATGAACTAAAAATATGGTATTTATAAAATGCTGCTTAATGTTATCTCACGGAAGAGCCCATACTGTTCTGTGAAAAAATACTCATTTCTCTCCAGTCTGTTACACTTCCTCATGTTCCTGCAGCAGCGTGGAGAAGGTTTTCAACAGTTTCCATCTGCAAGGATGTTTTAAATAGTCTCCTACAAACATTTCTTGGGAGAGTGATCAGCTACATGGGCATCGTTTTTCTTCCAAAGGAAGGAGTAATAACTATGTCAGTGTAAGACTGGTGCTGTGATGCTCCAGACCAGCCTGACCATTGAGCCAGAATAATGATTTTGATTGCCAAAAGCATCAATAAAACTGAAAATCATTTCAGGAGTCTCTTGAAGAGCGAGGTGGGCTACACTTCAGGGCCCAGCTCAGGTGAAGTAAGCATAAGGTGAATCATACTGAAAGGAAAAAGAAACCCAATTTAAAGTACTCATATGTGGCGCTGGTGTTAAATTAACTGTAGGTAGTCAGGAGAGGAACAAGGTAACATTTCCAACAGGCATTTATTTAATAAGAAATGGTGGCCATACAAAATGTTCATTTGTATAGAAAAAGCTAGCTGAAAGCACAAAATTATTGCATATCTTTAACATGAAGTGACACCTCAGCATGGATACTTTGCTCAGCTTTGCTTTCCAGCCTTACAGAAGGATAGGACAGAAAAGAAAAAGGTCTAGGGAAGGTAGTGAAAATGATTAAGGGAATACAAAGCTGCAGTGTGTGGAGAGATTAAAAGATTAGAACTATGTATCTTAGACATTAGAGGAACAAGGGGTGATGATAGAGAGATACAAAAAATAGCAAAGTGTTTAAAGAAGTTAAGTCAAGAGCTCCTTTTCCTTGAGTAAGAAGCACATGAAATTAAAAAGCAACTAATTTAGATCTTTTTCTGTACTTAGCAGCAGGGTAGCAATGCTCAACAGAAGACTGGCATCTGTATGAATGATGTCTAAGTGTACATAAGGAGGACTAACCTATAAAAACCATCAGGGTCATGAGCTCAGCCCAGCCAGAAGTTTTCAAAGTCTGAATGAAGGTATCTTAGTTCATTAATGGATTTATTGCTGAAACAGCAGGCAGAATGACTTTCAGAGAAAAATATGATTTTATGTATCTCTGTACTGAGATAGAGATCAGGGTTTTTTTCCTTTATTTCTTTGAAACTAATGAAGTAGAAACTTCTCTATGTGAAATCTACAGCAACAGGAATTATCCTCTGCATGTTTCAATAGATATCTTAGATCCATTCAAATAAGGCACCACACCTTTGCTAGGAGACTGCTGCAATTGCAACAAGACAGTGAGGAACAGCTTTCTGTAATGGATCTTCAGCTGACTGCTCCTGGTCCTGTCTGGAGCAAAATCAAGCAGCTCAGTGTGTGCTGGCTTCAGCTAGTGCTGGGACAGGTGGGACATCGTTGCCTTGGGTACCACAGCCGAGCTCCAAGAAGGCAAGTCAAGGGATGTCTGGGCTTCACAGGCACAAAGTAAGGAATCGCGTGTTCAGCTTCATAATGAGGGCCGTGGGCAGCTCCCCTGACTCTTCTTCATGGATACTGCAGACTGATGGGAGGCACTGCCATCAGCTCAGAGCTGAAACAGAAAGCTGGTCCTACTCTCTGCCATTTATTAAATTATATTTCACTGAAGCAACAGCAGTCTGGGCTGGGCATTTCCAGGGGATTGTTACACTTCTCAGATGGTTAATCACTTGCCCTTTGACCTCCTGCCTTATAACTCTGCTTGACATGTACTATAATTACTACTTGGAGAGTTTTATTACTTAATTATGCTATCAGCTATTGCAGTTTAACATGCCATCGATCTCTCCTGACCAGCCCCTCTTATACCCCCAAACAAATCTCCCCTTTCCACCTCACTTCTCTGCAAATTTCTACAAAGTAAGGCCCTGCACAATTTGTGCTTTGATCAATAAGGTGTAAAATTTTCTAATGTACAAAATACTTGCCTATTTTCTCTTTCTCTCCCACTCCTCCACTTCTGAGCCTTTTGATTTCAGACTTCCATAATCTATAGAGTCACATTTACCAGTGCTAGCATAAAGCAGCCAAAGCGCCTCATTCTTTTTACTATGTCTCCTAAAACCAAATTAAGACTCCATCAGACAAGCTGTTGGCTCATGCGAGCATCTGCCTGGCACTTTGTGGGCTGCTTACAGAGCACTGAACCACTGCATTCTGTCCTCCCATGGACCAACAGAGCAGCCTTTTTCCAGCCAGTGCAGCTTTGCTCAAGTCATGAAACATTTCAGCACACTTTAAAGACCAGCTTTACTGCTGTTGTGTCACTGGAGGAAGATGAAGAAGACACTGCTAGGCCGTTTGGGAGAGTTTGGTTTTGGGGAAGAACTCTCAGCCACCTACTCTTTCTTATCCTGTGGACTTTCTACAATAAGAAGCATGAGGCTGAGGTTCTGTAGTGGTTCCTGAAAGCAAAACACAGTGAAATATGATTTTAAACCAAGTTGGCTCTCATCACCAGTCCCCAGTGCAAGGGTGCACTGATTTATGACAACCTCCCAAAGCTGCCTACAGACTGCTTGACAGCCCAGACAGACACAGATTCTTAATAGCATTCAGTGCAGACCCATCCCCTTCCACCTCCAACATCTCCCCTGTACCAGGACCAGAGCTCAAGATAAATCTGCTGTGCCTGCCCCAAGGGAATTGTCTCCCAGCCTCCTGCAGCTTGTAAGGGTTGTTTCAGGAGATAGAATTAGTACCTTGATGCTCAGTATTGATCTCTGTTTGATTTATGTTCCCTTGATCTGATTTTCTTCTTGGCGTCACGAGTATAAATGAAAAGTTACACCCACAAGAGGCAGAAGTTATGCTGGCTTTAAACTTATGTAAGTGTGATTGAGGTTCCTTAACTCCAGCCTTTCTTAGTGAGAAGGGAGAGCGGTTTTTAAGATCAGCTGTATGGCTCATAGGAGGACAAAATATCCAGGCACTGCAGATTGCAGTCTCCAGCCATTCTTTCAAATTACTTCTTGAACCTGGAGTTCAGGGGAATGAATTCCTGGATCTCTCTCCTAGAGTTAGTTTTTCCTCTTGAAACATCCTTATGTTCTACATCCAGCAGTTCTCCCTTTTGGACTTCCATGTGGGGATGAATAAAGTATTTCTTGTGGGATGTGAGGAGAGAAGTTAGTAGGGACAAAACAAATCCTTTTGCAGCATGATTTCCAATGCACGACCATTTTGTATTGAGATAAGAGCCCACAAAGACATCAAAACTCTGCAATCACTTTTCATTTCCGAGGGGGTCCAACATCTAACATTTCTTCTTCAACTTCACTGGCCACTCATACCTGTATCCAAGGGATTAATAAGGCCTTGAGATTCTCCTCACGAAATTTGATCCATCTTTCTAAGACCACTTCTAAAACATCCATTAATTTATCCTGAAACTCTGTTAGGAGCTGAAGAGCTGCTGCTTAATGAAAAGAGGAGGAAGAGTGGTCTACATGCACTATTTTTCTTCATCATGGCATATGCACGTAGGGTTGATGAAGGTCTGCAGGGAGCAGGCTGTGCAAGTCCACTCCAGGTAATAGAACCAGTGTGAAAGATTTATAAAGGAGAAAGCTTCCAGGGGGTCCCCAGGCAATGCTCTGCAGCAACCCCCGGCTCCTGATGTGACTGATGGGAAAAGTAAGTGTATCTGAGCAAAGGCCACGGACCATAAAAGGCTTTGTGGACAAAATGGGCCTTCTTAATTAAGTTCTGTGCTTTCACATCGCCAGGAGGGAGGACTGCTTGACTGTCAGCAGTGAGCATACAGCCTGCTCCTCTTTATGTCTCCTTCAGGCCCAGGTATTCTTCAGTACCTCCTCAACACTCTCTGACAAAGCACACAGAGAGCTTGGAGTAAAAACATTGTGAGACTTTTAAAACTTTTATTTATTTTTAAATCAAACATTTAAAAAGCAGGTAGCTGTGGGTGTAGAGCAAATTACTCATATAGTATTAGTATTACCATAACTTGTTTAAATTTGGTCTGAAATACAAATGGTCTGGATTTACAAGACTTGCTTGGGGAATAATCCCAGCCTTTTTTAGTCCTTTACCTTGAATTATTGACTATCATGCTTAGCTCTCAGGTGATGGAATAAAGTTGTTAGAAAAATGTGTTTGCATGCCAGTGCTCTGAAACCCTATCAAACCCAGTCTGGTTTTATATCTTTTACACCAAGCT